AACCGTGAAGCTCGTATCAGTTGCAGGCTCCAGGCTGTATCAGCCCAGGTTCCTGTGGAGAGTGTCATGCATGGAGGACCTCGGATGCTGGCATGATGTCAGCTTGCAGTAAGGACACAGAGGGGCACTTAGAGAAGTCACACAGGAATAGCAAAGGGCTGGCCTTCTGCGTCTCTGGGGCGAGTGTACCTTCTGGTAAAAATGTAGTCAGTAGCAGACTTTGCTGTTTGCTGTGAGAAAAACATGCCTGGGATACTCTTCCAGGAGGAAACTGTAAACACTGGATAGTCCTGGTCCTCATTGGAGAGTTTGGGAAAATAGACACAGTAAGGGCTATTTCTGAGCCAGGACCTTATGGGGCCTGAGAATCTGGGGACAGAAAGGTCCTGGCTAGGTCACTGGGAGACCATCCTGGGGTTTCTAGCCACAGGGAACCCTAAAGGCAGACACACACACACACACACACACACACACACAAGCTGAGGGTGGCTTTAAGCATCTTGACACTGTCCACTCCCTAGCCCAAGCGGGATGACCTTCCCCCATCCTCAACACCTCAGATACCACGCACACGGCCAGTGTCTCCTACTCTGGACAGTGGGGATGAGACCATGGCTCATCTCTTGTCCCTGCTGAAGATGCTACACTTCACAACATACTTACGCGTGCAGGATAAACCACACAGGAGGAGTTGACCAGTGGTTTTTGCAAGTGCTGGAACTCACAGGCTCTGGCCATCTGTCTCATAGACTTCAGACCAAATAAAGTTTTATAAAAACTAGCTTCTGAGCCGGGCGGTGGTGGCTCACGCCTTTAATCCCAGCACTCGGGAGGCAGAGGCAGGCAGATCTCTGAGTGTGGTGGTCATGACTTTGATCAGAGTGCTAGGGAGATAGAAGCAGAGGCAGGTGGATCTCTGATTTTAGGACCAGCCTGGTCTATATAATGAGTTCTAGGTCAGCCAGGGCTGTATAGTAAAACCCTGTCCTTTTTTTGGTTGGTTGGTTTTTGTTGTTGCTGTTGTTTTTGAGACAGGGTTTCTCTGTGTAGCTTTGTAGACCAGGCTGGCCTCGAACTCACGGAGATCCTCCTGCCTCTGCCTCTGCCTATGCTGGAATTACAGGCATGTGCCACCACCACCTGGCTAAAACCCTGTCTTAAAACACAAAATCAACAACAACAAAAACTACCGTGGCTGAAGAGATCTGAGGCCAAAAGGGTGAACTTAATATTATTGCTTAGCTAAATTGCCATGGTGCCAAGATGCCATCTAAATATTTATGTTTATAGCCATATAGACAAATGCTCTGTGTGTGTGTGTGTGTGTGTGTGTGTGTGTACATCACATCACATGGGGAAGTCTGAGGAAAACTGCCGTATCCAGCTCCTCCCTTCCACCATGGGGATCCCTGGGATTGAATTTACGTCTCCAGACTTGACTCTTATTTGCCCAACCATCTCATCAGCACCACTGCCCCTTTTATAAATTAAAAGCAAATTGGACACAGCCTAGAATAACCTGTGGGGTTGACAGGAATGCCAAGTTTCTGTGCAATAAGATTTGATTTTGGCCAGGCAGTGGTGGCACACACCTTTAATCCCAGCACTCGGGAGGCAGAGGCAGGCGATGTCTGTGAGTTCGAGGCCGGGCTGGACCGACAGCCTCCAAAACAATACAGAGAAACCCTGTCTCGTAAAAAAAAAAAAAAAGAAAAAAAAAGATTTGATTTTGGTGAAAACTCACCTCTCTTCCTCATAATGATGAATCTGGTCCACTGGGGAATTCTATTAAAGTGACACAGGGGTCCAAGCATCAAGGGGGAGCTGGGCTCTTGGCCTCGTGTGTGTGTGTGTGTGTGTGTGTGTGTGTGTGTGTGTGTGTGCTCAACAATGGCATCTTTTCAGAGGACTTAGTACAAGCCGTCCATTCCTCATCAGTTGGCATTGGGCCAGCAGCCCTTGCGTTTGGCGGCCTGAGCTTGTGGAAATAGGTCTTCAGTTCTGAGTGGGTGTGAAGCTCTTTGGAGAGCAGTTTGGGGTGGGAGCTACTTCAGATTTTCCTCCTTCCCCATCCCAGGACAATTTACTCTTTCATTCATTCAAAGATGCCTCTGTGAGCCAGACAAGAGGATAAATATCTGTAATCCCAGCCATTCTAGGCCAGCATAGGCAACATAGCAAGACCCTGTCTCTAAAAAAACAAATATTTTTTTTTTAAATACCTGTAATAGATCTTCTTATCCTATCCCACAAATCCAATGCCTGGATTCCTTCCTGCAAGCAATCCATTGCCCATGTCTTAGCTTTTTCTGCAGAATAAACCACCCTCTCCCCTAAACCATACCGACTCAATCAATCATCAGGGGGCTGGAGAGATGGCTCAGTGGTTAAGAGCACTGGCTGCTCTTCCAGAGGTCCTGAGTTCAGTTTCCAGCACCCATTGGTGGCTACAACTGTCTGTAACTCATTTGAGGGGTTCCAGTGCCTTCTTATGGCTTCTGCGCGCGCGCGCGCGCGCGCGCACACACACACACACACACACACACACACACACACACACACACAGGCAAAACACCCGTTTATAAAACTAAAAAAAATAGTAAAAAACAATAGTCATTTAGAGCAGGTAGTGTCCAGTGACTATAATCTCAGCACTGAAGGCATAGGTAAGGGACTCTGGGGAGAATTTTAAGATCACCCTCAGCTACTTGCTGAATTTAAGACCAACCTAGGGAGGCACAGACAGGTCGGCTCTGAGTTCAAGGCCAGCTAAGTCTACTGAGTTCCAGTCAGGGCTACGTAGAGACACCCCATCTTAAAGACAGAGGGAAGAGCAGGGAACACATCCATTGGCAATCTTTCCGTCAAGGCCAGTCGGTAAATTCAGATCCAAGCACACCTAACATCTTTATTCCTGAGGCCCAGGATGTCACCGATGCCTTCGTAAGCCTCCACATGAATCCAGGATAGCTGATCAGTTTTTGTCATCTATCTTGTGTGTCGGGTCTTAAAGCACAGTTTGTAAGTGAAAACCTGCAGTTTACATAGCATGATGAGTGAGCCCTCACATACAAAAGTTTTTGAACGTCAACGTGATAGATTTCAAGACAGGTAGCTGACCTTCACTCAAGTTTTCTGAGTGAAGGAGCTGGGTCAAAGTGCACCTGGGATGATGGCATGACACGGGACAAGCTGGGATCTCACTGTATTGCCTCCCACTTTCAGACAGTCTCACTGTTCTCCTACGGATACACAAGGCTAGCCAGCCTGTGAGCTTTGAGTATCCCATCCTCTCTCCTTGAAGGAGCACTGGGATGCTACAGGCTTACAATACCCACCAAGGTTCTATGTGGGTTCTGGGGATTTGAACTCATGTCCTCATGCTTGCATGACAAGCACACTTGCCCACAGAACTGTCTCCTCAGGTGCTACCACCTTGCTTTGTTTTGAGACAGAATCTCTCACTGTATCTTAAGTTCTGTTTTGCTAGTCTATCTGGATAGCAAATCTTGGGGAATATTCCTGTCTCCAACCCCTAGTGCTGAAATTAGACATTTTAAATTTTATTTATTCAATATTTTTACATTTTATTAAGTGTGTGTGTGTGTGTGTGTGTGTGTCTGTGTGTTTCAGACAGAGTCCCATATATCCCAGACAGGCCTCAAACTCCTTATGCAGCTGAGGAGTTTCTAATCCTCCTGCCTCCACTGAGTGCTTGGATACCAGATGTGATGCAGGGATTAAACCCAGGGCCTCGTGCACTGTACTGGTCACTGTTTGTAGTTGGCTTGATTCAACTTGGAGTCACCTGGGAAGAGGGAATTGCCTTGATCAGGTTGGCCTATGGGGATATTATGGGTCATTGTCATAACTGATGGATATTTAGGAGGGCCCAGCCCTTTGTGGACCCGAGCTGTATAGAACGTGAATGGAACTCAGGAGACAGAGGTAGGTAAATCTGAGTTTGATGCAAGCCTAGTTATACATGGTGAGTTCCAGGTCAGCCAGGGCTGCATAGTGAGACTGTCTCAGGAAGGGAGAGGGAGAGAGAGAAGGAAAGGGAGAGAGAGGAGAGGGAGAGAGAAGAAAGGGAGAAGGAGAGACAAGAGGGAGAGAGAGGAGAGGGAGAGAAGAAAAAAGGAGAGAAAAGAGATGGAGAGGGGAGAGAGAGAGAGAGAGAGACAAGAGAGGGAGAGAGGGAAGAGGAGAGGGAGAGAGAGGAGAGGGAGAGAGAGGAGAGGGAGAGAGGGGAGAGGGAGAGAAGAAAAAGGAGGAGAGAAAAGAGAGGGAGAGAAGGAAGAAGAGAGCAGAGAGGGAGGGAGCAGTTGGTTGAGCATGGGCCCTAAGAGCATGCTGGGAAGTTGGTTGAGCATGGCCCTAAGAGCATGCTGGGAAGTTGGTTGAGCATGGCCCTAAGAGCTTGCTGGGAAGCAGTGCTCTTTCATGATCTCTGCTTAGTTTCTGTCCCGATTTCCCTCAATAATGAACTGAGACTCAGAAGTATAAGCTGACCAAGTTACATTTAGTCATGCAATTTTTCACAGCAATAGAAAACAAACTAGACTGTGCATGTTAGCAAGCACACTCCCAGCTGAACTACACCTCTCAACCCCCTCCACAGACACACACTTATGGGTCTCACTACATGGCTTAGACTCAAACTCATGGCCCTCCTGGCTCATTGTTACAAATGTTGGAATTAGTGACATGCACTACCATACCTTAAAACTATTATTTACCCGAAAATCCTTTTAAAACAATGTTTTCTAGTACATAAAAATATGCTTGATTTTTTTAATACTTCATAGAGCCCCAATGCCTATGGTAAGCTCGTATTTTAGTTACAATTGCCCGAATGAGCCCTCTTCATGGGTGACATGGTTCCCGAGTGACAACAGTGTTGTTTATTCTCTTCCAATCTCCATGTTCTATTCCTCTTCAGGTTTTCTACATTAACTCGTGTCTTTAGATCTAATGAGGTTTCTCCGCTTCCCCTGCAGATGAGGCCGAGGCCCATATTGATTATGAGGACAATTTCCCTGATGACAGATCCGTGTCGTTCAGAGAACTCATGGAAGACTCCCGGGCTGAGGGAGAGGAGGAAAAGGCTCAGGAGGACGCCTCTGAGGAGACACCAAAACAGGATCGTCTGGTCTTCACTTCTGCGTCTAAAGAAAACACAGCCCAGGAGAAAACCTTTGTGCCAATCACGGGATCGCCCAGTGCTGGGAGCGGGGTCCGCACAGACTGGCCCAGATCCCGCCTAAACAGGAAGTACTCACTCTGGTTTCCAGCTGAGACTTTCCACAAGTCAGAGCTGGAAAAGGAAGTGGGGGATGAGACCAAAGATCCACTTCCTGCTGGAGAAAATCCCAGTGAAGGGGAACTGGTCCCAGAGGAGTCTGAAACCAGGCTGGTCTATGCCACCACCTACAGCCCCTCGGAGCCGTTTGCGGATAGAAATGAGAGCAAAGCAGAGGACCCGGGGGTGAGCAGCAGTGATGACTCCTGGTTAGATGGCTACCCTGTGACGGATGGGGCCTGGAGGAAGGCAGAGGCAGGGCAGGAGGATGACGGGTCAGTGGGACTAGACGAAAGTGTTCTCATGACCCCTAGTCAGCCTCCTGGGAGAGTTACGGAGCACAAGAGTGCCACCATCACCACGAGCGAGTCCATGACATACAGCGCGACTGCTCCATCTCAGATGCCGGATGCAGAGGCATTGGTGCCAGGCCCCATGAATGTGTCTGAGACTGAGGGTCCCCACACCGGCGACGGTGATTTAACCAAGTACCAATCAACGATACCTCGGAGAGTCACCACAGAGCGGTCTCCCGCAGCCACCTCACCCTATGAACTCATCACCTCCACCCAAGAGACAGTACCAACAACTCTGCAGCAGACACTTAAACTCATCCCCTCAACGAGCATGGAGGCCACCCAGCCCCCAGCAGAGGAGGCCACCCAGCCTCCAGCGGAGACCACAGATCCCGAGGTTCAGGACAGCTTCCCATACCTGCTGTCTGAGGACTTCTTGGGACAGGAGGGCCCCGGGCCCGGCGCAAGCGAGGAGAAACTCCTTCCAACCTTGGCCCCGTGCATGGGGAACGAGTGTCCCAGCTTGCGGAGAGGCCCGGTGATCGCCATCATTGTCACTGTCCTGTGCCTGCTGTTGCTCCTGGCAGCCGTGGGAGCTGTGTGGGGCTACCGGAGGTGCCAGCACAGGAGCTCTGTGTACAAGCTGAATGCTGGACAGAGGCAGGCGAGACACTACCACCAGCAGATTGAGATGGAGAAAGTCTAGCCTCTGTCAGCGTGGGCTCTCACAAAGCCACCCGGAGGAAGGTTAACTATGACCCGTCACACTGATATTTCTCAGGATCGGAGGAGGAAAGGCTCACCCTCTAAAGTTCACATCTTTCTTCTGGAGGCACCAGTGGGCAGGAAGGGTCTGGTGGCGCCATCACACACACCAAGGTCTCTTCAGCCACAGGCCCTGGAATGCATTGCCCAAATCACAGACCCCTGCTTTGGCCCTACTCCAATACAAGGCTGGGCCGCCGTCATCTTTGTTTAAATCACACTAATGTCTTTGCATCTCTAGAGTTACAGACTCCATGCCCTGAAACATTTGAATGGTTTTGATGAGCCTGGTATTGAGGGCCACGTTAGGAAACATGTCCGGTTGTGGAATGGGACAGGGAAGGATCGTGTTTGTTTCCTTTTATCGTGATGCTAAAAGTCGGGAGCCTGAACATACTTCATAAACTCTTTCTTTTTTGTTTGTTGAAATTGGAGAGAATTTCAGACTGACATTCTGCCTTGGGATATGAGGAGCAAAGAGGCACATGCCCACCCCTGATCCCGAAGTTGTGGGACGGCCCACTGTTTGCTTTAAGAACAAGGTGAACTTTGTGCTAGTGAGGACAACATTCGGTGTCCGTCTGGGCTGTGCCTACAAATGCTTGGGATGGCTACCAGGGCTGATGACAAAACCCAACTCTTAGTCTCCTCTCTCAGAATTAACTGTTTCTCTGAACTCCAGTAAGAGGGAACAATATGGAAGGGGGAAAAATGTTTGGAAAAGCTGGAAGACTAGTGTATCAAATATGGGCACCAGCTCAGTGGAGACGGAGTGAAAGGAGACATGGATTGCCCTCGGTTGGTCTACCCTAGCCATTTCCTGTCACGTTGACCACCTACATGTCTTTCTAGCAAGATGGTCCTCAGACCAGCAGCATGTCACCGCTGGTTTGTTGGCAATGTAAGTTCTTTAGTCTCACCCCAGACTCGGGAAGCCAAAGTCCTGGTGGGGCTGGACCAGGTCTGAGCTCAGGCTCTGATTCATACTAAGAGCCAATGGCTTCCATCATCTGTGGCGATCCTGGAACCCAGGAAGGCCTGGAGACAGGGAGGCAAGCACCTCCCGTGCCCTGTCTAGTTTGACCTCAGCACCTCGTCAGTGGCATGAAAAGTGTCACCTCCAGCTGTCTCCATCCAGGGTATTATCCCAGAAGTAAGCACACTATGTTTTTCTATCTGAATCCCTTCCTAAAGGTGTAAAAGCGATGGAGGCTATGCATCTATTCTGAGGCACCCTGGGAGTATCTATTTTTAAATGGCACAAGACATCCTGGTACATGCCTTTGTGGGTGGTGGTTTTACAGTGGAAAAGGAGGTGGGGCAGAGGGACTGTCTGGCAGGTGTGAGGCCCTGGGTTCAATATCTGGTACCACAAAAATGAAAAAAGAGTTGGTGATGGTATTTTACCAAAGGAAAAGATGTCACAATGTATTTCCTGTGCTGCCACGTTTGGTGAAAGCTTTGGAAAACACCAGGCTCAGTATGACACCATACAAAATCCCGCCGACCGTAACTAGGTCAAATGAAGGCCTGGGGGAGCCTGCTAGACTACCTCTGCCTCAGAGGGACTGGAGAGAAGGGAGAAGACGCTTTCTGTACGTAGCCAAAGAAGAACTCGACGGAGTAAACCCAGAGACGGTATATTTTTAAAGTAGAGTCTAATCTCTTGTGAGGTAGCAGTTCTATTTTTATCACTAGTTATGTAAAATAACCTCTGTCTCCACATGGGGATCCTGTCAGCAACTAAAATTAACCCGGAACACTGAATTTATATCAACATGTAAGTAGACGGTACTAATACAAGTATATTAATAAGTTTATTGTAAATTATTAGCACATGTCAATGCATTCTTTTGTAGACACAATCTGTAAAGTAAGCTCAGTGCATTAGCTCACACACTGTACTGATTTGCTGTCATCTAAATAACGGTGAAAGGACATGAGCCCACATGTCGCAAGGGCATGAGCACTAGCTCACTAGAAACTCAAGCTGTCACCACAAACCTTTGAGAATGATAAGTGCTTATGAAAATGGGGGAGGGAAAAGCTTTTGATATATTTAAAATAAACAGTTATTTCCCACAGACACTTGATAGTTGTACTAATATCTACATTATTGTGCCATTTTTTAAAAAATGTATGTGTATATGGTGTGCACGAATTTATGTCTATGTGTATATGTGTTTCTATATCTGAATGAGGGTGTCTGTGTGGGTGTGTCTGTATCTGTGTGTGTTTGTCAGTGTGACTGTGTGTCAATCCGTGTGTCTGTGTGTCTGACTACGGGCAGTTGTGTGGCTATGTGGCTGTGTGTGTGTCTGTGTGTATATATGACTGTGTAGCTGCATCTGGCTGTGTGTGGCTGTGTGTGTCTCTATGTGTCTGTATGACTGTGTGGCTGTGTCTGGCTGTGTGTCTGTGTGTATATGACTGTGTGATTGTGTCTGGCCGTATGTGTGTCTGTGTGACTGTGGCTGTGTGTGGCAGTGTGTGTATCTGTGTGACTGTGACTGACTGTGTGTCTGTGACTATGTCTGGCTGTATGTGTCTGTGTAACTGTGTCTGATTGTGTGTGTGCGTGTGTCTGTGTGACCATGTGTGGCTGTATGTGTGTCTATGTGTATGACTGTGACTGTCTGGCTGTGTGTGGCAGTGTGTGTATCTATGTTACTGTGTCTGGCTGTGTGTATCTGTGTAACTGGTGTGTGTGTGTGACTGTGTATGGCTGTATATGTGTCTATGTTTATGACTGTGTGACTGTGTGTGTATCTGTGTGACTGTGTGTGTCTGTGTAACCATGTCTGGTTGTGTGTGTGTGTCTGTGTGACTGTGTATGGATGTATGTGTGTCTATGTTTATGACTGTGTGACTGTATGTGTATCTGTGTGACTGTCTGGCTGTGTGTGGCAGTGTGTGTATCTATGTTACTGTGTCTGGCTGTGTGTATCTGTGTAACTGGTGTGTGTGTGTGACTGTGTATGGCTGTATATGTGTCTATGTGTATGACTGTGTGGCTGCATCTGGCTGTGAGTGGCTGTGTGTGTATATGTGTTACTGTGTGTGTCTGTGTAACCATGTCTGGTTGTGTGTGTGTGTCTGTGTGACCGTGTATGGATGTATGTGTGTCTATGTTTGACTGTGTGACTGTGTGTGTATCTGTGTGACTGTCTGGCTGTGTCTGGCTGTGTGTGTGTCTGTGTGAGGACTGTGTGTATAGGTCAGAGAGCCATCTTAGGTGTTGACCGTTATCTTCCACGTTGTTTTGAGACAGAGTGTCTTGTTCGCTTCTGCACACCCAGGCTAGCTGGCCTGTGAGTTCCAGGGACTCGGTCTCTGACTCACATCTCTCAGCAGGAGCACTGGGGTCACAGATGTGCACTCCTGTGCCTGACTTTATGTGGATTCTGGGGATCAACGCCCAGTCTCATACTCACACTCTAAGTGCCTCATCCACTGAGCCTGCTCCCCTTCCCCACCATGATTTAAGTATTCACCAGTAATCTTGAAAACAATGTCTTAGTGCCTGCAATGTTGGCAGTGGCTCTCCCTAACCCCCATATCCTTCTGCAGGACTGGGGAGGGGGGTGCAGAGCTCTTTCCCCTCTCCCTCTTCTCTACTCCTTCCTTCTTCCTCATGACAACCACAGAGGAATTTGGAGAACATGCTAGAAATATAGAATTCGGCCTTCTCCAGATCTGCTGAGCTAGAACCTTGCTGAGCAGGGTGCCTGGCGATGAATGTATATGGTAAGATCTGAGCAGCCACAGCCAATGACCCCTCTCAGCAGGCAGGCCCTCAAAGGAATAATTAAAGAGGGTTAGACAGAGGTCTGCAAAGGATGGGCTGGGACAAGTACCAAGGTTGGTAGGGAGCTGGCAAAGAACTCTGTGACATCATCCGTGATCGGAAGACACTGCAAGGGGAGCTCTGGCCTTGGAGAAGATGCAGCCACGGTCCAGCCACGACCGGAAGCAGTTGCGGGGTAAAGACCTGACTACTCCTCTCTGCAGTCTTCTGCACATGTATCCGATTACCAACAGGAAGTCAGAGAGTGAGGAAGCCCAGGTAGTATACAACACAGGGATCGGGAAGGCAAAGAGATCCATCGGGGTGGGATCCTGTATGCAGAGAAAGAAATCCATCAGGGTAGGACTACTGTATGCAGAGAAAGAAATCCATCAGGGTAGGACTACTGTATGCAGAGAAAGGGGTCCATCGGGGTGGGATGCTGTATGCAGAGAAATAGGTCCATCGGGGTGGGATGCTGTATGCAGAGAAATAGGTCCATCGGGGTGGGATGCTGTATGCAGAGACCATTCGCACCAATGCCATCTTTAGTTATGTCCCCCTAAACCTGTAGCCACCAAAGGTCTGTGACTAGAAAACCTTCTGTGTTGCAGACACTTGATCCCATCCCAGGTCTCTTTCTCTGGGCAGGTGACTCTCTCTCAGCTGCTCTGAGTGACAGCTGCAGGAAGAGTTACCATGGAGATCAAATGGGCCCACCTCCCCGGCTAAAATGGAGACTACCTTGTGTAATTCGTGCTCCAGGGCTCCCATTGGACGGTCACAGCTTGTCCGATTGAGAACACACCCTGTGCCATGCCTCCTGTAATTCTCACACACACCATCCCTCGTGCTTCAGGGATCCAGATGGAGGACTCTGGGTGACATTCAAATACTCCAGGATGCCAGGACTCAAAGCCAGTTCAAGCAGATACAACAACTGTAATAATATTAACCATTTCTTACAGCATATCAAGTCACAGGGGAATGAGACCAGGAAACAGCAGCAGAAGAAAAGTTATACAAACATAGGAGCTGAACGGCACACTTGAATGATTAGCAGGACTGAAGAGGGAAGAGACAAACAGAACGCAGATGAGGGTGAAAAGCTCAGTTGTGGTTACAGCCGCGCAGCACACGAAGTTTGTAACTACGACGCTTGTATTTAACAAGTCAGGGCTGGGGCCTGGAGAGGAGGCTCACCGTGGTCAAGAACACTTGCTCCTGCAGAGGGCCTGGGTTTGGTTTCCAGCACCACACGGAGGCTCACAACGGTCTGTAACTCCGGTCCCAGGGGATCTGACACCCTGTTCTGACCTCCATGAACAGGCCCAAGGTTCACAAACAAATCTGCATGCAAGACACATAAATAACCTAAAAAGATACTTTTTAACTAGGGCTGGGAAAAGATCCCAGTGGTTAAGAGCACTAGTTGCTCTCCCAGAGGACCTAGGTCCAGTTCCCAGCGCCTAAACAGTAGTTCACAAAGTTCTGAAACTCCAGTTCTAGGAGATCTGATACCGTACTCTGCCCTACACAGGTCCACAGACAAAACACCTATACGTATAAAGTGGTAATTCTTTTAAAATAAAATTTTTGGAAATCAGGGCTGGAGAGATGGCTCAGAGGTTAAGAGCACTGACTGCTCTTCCAGAGGTCCTGAGTTCAACTCCCAGCAACCACATGATGACTCACAACCATCTACAATTCAATATGGTACCCTCTTCTGGTATATAGGTAGAATACTGTATATGTAATAAATAAATAAAACTTTTTAAAATTGGAAATCAACGAGGAAGCTGAAGAGAGGGGCTCGGACGTTAAAAGCACTGGCGCTCTTCCAGAGTCAGGAGCACGGGTGCCTGCACCCACGGTGGCCCCTCACAACCACCCGTGACTCCAGCAGGGACCCCACACCCTCCTGTGGCCTCCTCAGGCACCCACACACATGTGCATATACACACAAATGAAAAAACATTAAAGTAGTCCCCAAGACAACTTAATGAGTACACCCCTATATTTTCAATGGATAAGCCAAACTCTAATCAGTAGACAGACACAATAAAGACAAGCGCCCGCACCACCACCACCACCCAAAGCCAGGCAGTGGGGGCGCACACCTGTTCCAGGACAGGCTCCAAAGCTGCACTGAAAAGTCCTGTCTCGAAAAACTGACAGCCTTTAATCCCAGCACTTGAGAGGCAGAGGCAGGCGGATCTCTGTGAGTTCAAGGCCAGCCTGGTCTACAAGAGCTAGGACAGCCTCCAAAGCCACAGAGAAACCCTGTCTCGTAAAAAAAAAAAAAAAAAAAACCCAAAAAGAAAAAAAGTAAAAAGACTGATAATAAATAAATAAAATAAAATTAGAGATGAAAAGGAGGCGGCTACAATAGATAATTAACCAAACCCAGGTATTTTGTTGTTGGGTTGATGCTGGTTTCTTTTTTTAAGATTATTTATTATGTACACACTGTTCTGCCTGCTTGTCAGAAAAGGGAACCAGATCTCATTACAGATGGTTGTGAGCCACAATGTGGTTGCTTGGAATTGAACTCAGGACTTCTGGGAGAGCAGCCAGTGCTCTTAACCTCTGAACCATCTTTCCGAGCCTGGGGGGGTGGGAAGGGGAATATTGTTGATGATTGCTTTGAAAATCTATATTCCAGGGGCTGGAGAGATGGCTCAGAGGTTAAGAGCACTGACTGCTCTTCCAGAGGTCCTGAGTTCAATTCCTAGCAACCACATGATGGCTCACAACCATCTGTAATGAGATCTGGTGCAATCTTCTGACATGCAGATGTAATAAATAAATCTTTAAAAAAAAAGAAAATCTATATTCCAAAGTGCTGAGAAATCAAGAGGAAACGATCCCTGGACATATATGACCAGCCAAAGTGAAATAAAAATTTTATAAATAATATTTATCTACATTGAGCAAGGAGACTGAATCAATAATAAACTGTCTCCTGGTGAAGGGAACCCAAGACCCCACAGATTCACCACTGAATTCTATCAGACCTTTAAAAAGAGACTAACATGAACGCTCCTCAAACTGTCTCATGAAATAGAAACTGAAAGAGCTCATTCTATGAGACCAGGGTTACAATAACCAAGGAGGACATAACAAAAGAATATACACCAACAGTCCACGAATGTGGACACAAAACATTTCGGTACAACACAACCTGATTTTTAGTATACACCATTTTCAGTTTGGCCTCATTCTAAGGGTGCGGAGAAGAGTCAGACCACACAAACCGATACACACAATAAAGCACACGGACTCCCCACAGAACCCAC